GGGGGAGGGGACGGTCCCCGCGCCGGGAGCCTCGGGGAGCGCGCGGGGGAGTTGTCATGCGGCGTCGGATCGGGGCGGGGAGCGGAAAGCAGAGCAGCAGGTCGGGCGGTGTGTAGGGATCGGAGTGGCCCTCGGTAGGGGCGGGCGCGGTGCCTCTCCGAAAGGTTGGCCTCTGCTGGATTAGAGTCCTCGGGGCTGGTGTGGGGGGAGCAGAAAGCAGAGCAGCAGGTAGGGCAGGAGAAAGGGGTCCGAGCAGCACTCTAGGAGGGTGGGGAGCAGTAAGCAGAGCAGCAGAGCAGGTGGGAGGGAGTTGGAGTCGGAATCACGCCCTAGGAGGGCCTAGGGGGGTGGGAAGCAGAGGAGCAGCAGGTTGGGAAGGGGAAGGGGGTGGGGCTGGCACTCAGGGGGAGCAGAAAACAGAGCAGCGGGTTGGGAAGGGTGCCCAGAGTGCCTCTTGGGGAGGGTATGGGGGGAGCAGAAAGCAGGGTAGCAGGCTGGGCAGGGGAAGGGGCTTGGGGTGGCACTCCCGGTGGGTGTGGATGAACAGAAAGCAGAGCAGCAGATGAACAGAAAGCAGAGCAGCAGATTGCGCGGGCCAGACAGGCCCTTGGGCAGGCCATGGAGGGAGCAGGAAGCAGAGCAGCAGGCCGGGCAAGGGAAGGAGGTTGGAGCGGCACTCAGGGAGGCTGTGGGGGTGCAGCATGTTGGGAAGGGGACTGGAGTGGCGTTTTGGGAGGAGCACAAAGCAGAGCAGCAGATTGGGTGGCACTTGGGGAGGGCACAGGGCGAATGTGCGCCATGCCTGGCAGAAAAGGTCAGCCCCCGCTGGACTCCGCCCTTGAGGGTCTTCCCACTCCCAAGATCCTCTGCTTGTTCTTCCTGGACTCTTCACTTATGGCTGCTGACTCATTTGTCCAAGCAGTCGTTATGTCGTCCCGTTCAGGGTGAGACAGAGTTATGAAAGCTGGTTAGAGTTAGCAATTAAACCAGAGACATTTCAGTCGCTTTTCTGAGAACTGTTGCTTGGAGAGGTGTCTCGTTATGGAAAACAACCCTCACGTAGCTCAGGAGACCAGTCGTGCAGCATGGCTTTCAAATTGCATGTAGCAGTACCCTAACGGTGCTAGACAGGGATTGGCATATGTTTGAATTTAAAAAAAAGCACTGAAAATGAGCAAACTTGTCAAGTTAGACCATTTATAGATACTCTGTGAATAGAAAAGAGGTCTCAGGCTGTAATGCTGTGCAAGAAAAAGACCCACGTAACAGCATGGGCCCTGTTGGTTTTAGTAGCTGTCTGTGGATGACTGCCTCTTTGGGACTGGAGGGAAACCTTGCTGTACATATATACAAACCGTGTCAACTTTCCTTCTCTTGCTTGTCAAAAACTCAGATTCAAGCCAAAAATTGGCCCACATTCACTTTTTCTAATGTTATAATTTGATTAGCTCATTGCATTACAGCAAGTACACTGCCTCATCCCATCCCCATGCATTGTTTTAGTAGCAAAGAAGGGGCAGAAGAGTGGTCCACTGAGCCAGAAATTAGGAATTGTCTTGTCTTATGCGAGAGTTTTTCCCTGTGTAGATGGATGCAGCCCGCTTAGCCATTTTATCTGGCCCACAGATCGGTGGGGGGAGGTTGGTTCACCTTTGTGGTGGCCAGGCGGCAAGGAGAAATCCTGGCAGCGGCACTGAGGGAAGGACTGGTGCCTGCAGTTTTGGTAGCGGTGCAGGCTGTGTTAGAAGCAGCTCCATGCTTGGAACTATGCTGTGCTAAAGCATCTCCACCTGCTCATAAATGTTAGACCTCTGGTTTACCTATTTGCTCTTGCTTTTTTCTGTCAAAGAGGCATTCTGATGAAGGATGTCTGGTTCTGGGTGATTTGTCCCTAGATGCCTTTATGGTTGAGCAGTTGGGACAGACTTTTTTGACAGACGTACCACAAATTAGCCTTGCACCCTTTCTGAGTGCCACTCTTGTCCCTTTCCCCTGCCTAGTCTGTTGTCTGCTTTCAGCTTTCTGCCCTATCTGCTGCTCTGCTGCCTGCCCACCCCCTCATCTACCTTGTACCACATACAAAGGCTGCTTGTGCAACTTGTACATGTGCCCGGGCTCTCCTTGTGTTAGAACAGACTGAGGCTTTACTGGACCCCTGGAGTTTTGCATCATCTTCTCAAACCAGAGTGCCGAGCATAATTTGGGTATCTTCAGGCTTTAATTAATCTCGGGATATCATTTAGAACATTATTGTACAGTTTAACTTGTGATATATGTAGAATTGCAGAGAAGTAATGTAAATGAGGGGGCAAATGCCAGGATTTGGGGCTCTTCTGTAAATAGAGAGAGAGTTGTGAGAGTAAGTTTGAGATAAATGTGCCACAAAATATTTTTACAGATAATCTGTAGTGAGAGGGAATGGAAAAGATTAAGTACCAGCAAAAGTGAAATGTGAGTGGGATTTAATAACCCTTAATAAGCCAATGGAGATTTGGAGAGGGGAGAGAATCCTAGGCAGAGCAGCACAAGCCAAAGAGGAACATAAATAACAATGGAGAGTTGTAGAGAGGGGTCAATGTAAAAATAGGATACGTGGGTGTAAAATCAGAAGGAGTCAGGAGAAAAATACATGGATAATGTTAAAAAACCGGAAGGCAGTTTCAGAGTGGATTTGTAGGTACTGGGGAGTGGAAACAAAATGTAATTTCCCAGATGAATAAGTATTATTAAAACACTTCTTACCTTATTTGTTGTAAGGGGCTTTCTGTCAATCATTACACAAAATACACATAAAATCCCTAGTGGAATATGGTGCAGACCTGAAGGTATCGTATACGTTACTTGATGCAAGGTAAGAATAGAATTGTAAGGCTTTGTGATGCAGGTGTGCAGCATACTTTACTTATGCTTGAAGAAAAAGAAACAGGATGATGATTGCAGTAAGATTTGTTGCACTTGTTTAGAATGGAAACTTGTCTTTTTGCTGTCCAGTGTTAGTGGGAGAGGATGTTTAGAAATTACTGTCCTAGGATTAGTATGGTCTATTATAGTTACCGTATTATTTTTAATTTTTTATTTTGGCTTAAGTGTAAGTATAACAGTTTATGTACATTTACTTCCATCCTTTTTTGCAAATACTTTCATAATACAGCAGTTGAATAATCTTAAGAAAGGCATTGATGTTTAATATGGAAGCTACCAAAGCAGAATTTCAGAGAAGTAATTTGCCTGACACTTTTTGGAAAGAGTTGAGTCAGTAATGCTGCTTTTCTAGATTTTGTCAGGCTGTACCTAAGTGCATTATGTCTCATGCTTCTGGAGTGCCACCTTTTTTCAGCCCTGTGGTAAACGGCCCCCCCCAGGTATTAATGATCTTAAGCCTCAAGAAACACATGCTGGTACCTCCACAACAGCTACTGAGTTGGTCAGATCCTTCAGAGTCCTTATTTGAATGTGTTTTTATGTGGAGCCTGTGCGGGCCGGGAGCGATCCGGGCCCTTTTTGTGCTCTGCGCGGGCTGTGGCCAGCAGCCTGGGCATGCGGGGTCGGAGAGAACGGGCGGCACGCTAGAATTAGTCATGGACGCGTAATGGTTGATTTAAAGATTATTTACTTACACCGAAGATGGTTGCGGTGCAGGCTGGAAAACTTGCTTGAGTTGCGGTTACAGATAGAAAAGATGAGAGGTGGACTAGAGTTCCTTCTCGTGAACACTTTTCTAGCCCATCCGGTTGGAGGCTCTAAACCGCGAGCCCGTCGCGCCAAC